CAAAGAAATTCCCTCCACGGTTGATCTGGAGGCTGCCGCGGAGGGGGCCGGGGACGATTTCGTTGATCTCTCCCCCTTGGTGTAGTCAAAGTAAAAAATCCTTTTTTTTTTTTTTTTTTTTGGGTATGTAACTGGGCTACTTGCCCTACCATATGTACTACATTTCTTTATCAATGAAAACTTTTGCATTTCGCTTATACTTCTGCTAATGTCTATTGTTGTTCGTCTTGCAACCGCACTATTGTTGCTCGGCTTGTTACAGATTGACAGAGCTGGGAGAAACATCTCGGTCAAAATCTTGAACTCTTCAATTCTTCGACTCCACTAGCCGAGATAAAGCGTCTCGGCAAAATTACTGGAGTTGAACAACTCATGAACCCCATTAGTTGAGATAAAACATCTCGACAAAAATACTAGAGTTGAATAACTCATCAACTCTATTAGCAGAGAAAAAACATCTCGGCCAGAATATTGGAGTTTGAACAAATCATCAATCCCACTATCTGAGATAAAACATCTCGGCAAAAATGTTGGAGTTGAAAAACTTGTCAACCCCATTAGCCGAGATAAAACATCTCGGCAAAAATACTAGTGTTGAATGACTCATCAACTCCATCAGCCGAGATAAAACATCTCGGCCAAAATACTGGAGTTGAACAAATCTTCAACTCCATTAGCTGAGACAAAACATCTCGGCAAAAATACTGGAGTTTGAACAAATCATCAACTCCACTAGTCGAGATAAAACATCTCGGTAAAAATGCTGGAGTTTGAACTAATCATCAACTCCACTAGCCGGGATAAAACATCTCGGCAAAAATGCTGGAGTTAAACAACTCATCAATCCCATTAGCCAAGGTAAAACATTTCGGCAAAAATACTGGAGTTGAACAAATCATCAACTCACCAGCCGAGATAAAACATCTCGACAAAAATACTGGAGTTGAACATATCATCAACTCCTTTAGCCGGAATAAATCATCTCGGCCGAAAAAGTGGTTGCCCTTAGTGCACGACTGTCCCTAAATTACAACACACTATGTAAAATAATTCGTTTCTATTACATATTGCAATCATGGATTCATATAATGGCTGATAGGATTACATTGGTAGACAGAGGGGAAAACTTGGCCCTTTACAAAAAATTACACTAAAAAAAACAAAGACTAAAAATAGTATAGCTTGAGGTTGGCCGCATTCCATGGCCGAGGTACGCTTTTGCCATCCAAGTCCTCTAGGTGGTATGCCTCCTTGCTCGCCAGACCGATTATCTTATAAGGCCCTTCCCAGTTTGCCCTTAGCTTGCGCTCACTCGGTACCAGTGTGTTGCCCATCACCTTTCTTAAAACCCAGTCCCTGACTTTAAACGGTCTGGGGTGCACCGTTTTATTATTCTTTCTGAATAATTCTTGTTGATATACAGCCACGTGGATTAGTGCCTTTTCTCGGCGCTCGTCGGCTAGGTCTAATTCCAAGGCGATGGCTTCAGAATTCAGGTCGGGTTTGAAATTCTCGCTGCGGATGGTGGGCATGTCGATCTCCAACGGGATAACTGCCTTCATGCCATATGCCATAGCAAAAGGAGTCTCCCCGGTCGAGCGCCTTGGGGTCGTTCGATATGCCCAAAGGACACTAGGGAGTTCCTCGGCCCATTTGCCTTTGGCTTTCTCCAACCTTTTCTTCAACCCATCTAGAATGGTCTTGTTCGATGCTTCGGTTTGGCCGTTGGACTGCGGGTAGGCCAGGGTGGAATTGTAGAATTCTATCTTCAATTCTTTACAAAATCCTCTAAACAGCCTTCCGTCAAATTGGGTGCCGTTATCAGAAATCAAAGCCTTGGGGACGCCAAACTGCGTTATCACATTCTGTTAAACAAATCGTTTAACGTCCTTTTCCATGATGGTCACAAAGGGCTCGGCTTCAAGCCACTTGGTGTAGTAATCTATCGTCGTAATGAAGAACTTCTAGTTGCTCGGCGCTGTCGGGAGTGGTCCCACTATGTCCAACCCCCACATTGCGAAAGGCCAAGGGCTAGTGAGAGAAAGAAGTTCTCTGGCTGGTTGGTGAATTTGGTGGGTGAACTTTTGGCATTTTTCACATTTTCTAACATATTTCTGCGCATCCGTTTGCATGCACGGCCACCAGTATCCTTACGAAATAACGCGGTAGGCTAAAGATCTCCCCCTAATGTGACTTCCACACATTCTTTCGTGGATCTTGTAGAGAAAAGCTTCAATGCTGTTTGGATGAACACACTTGAGGTACAGACTGGTGAATGACTTCTTATACAAAGCACCAGATGGAGAAAGCCAAAATCGTTCTAACTTCACCCGGATTTTATGTGCTTCTTTTTTGTCAGCCGGAAGGATTCGTTCTTTCAGGAAACGGATTATAGGTTCCATCCAAGAAAGACTAAGCTCGATGCAAAATACTTTCGTCTGCTTCGAGTCCGCAATGGTAGGTCTTGGGAGGAACTCAATCAGGAGAGGGCTGGGAGTTGATTTGTCAAACATTGAAGCTAAGCCGGCCAACTCGTGCGCTCAGCCGTTTTCTTCCTGGCCAATTTGTTGGACCCTTATTGCTTGGAACTCCTTGATGTGTTCTCTTACTAGAGCTTAGTACTTGGCCATTCTGTCATCTTTGGCTTCGTACACTCCTGACACTTGGTTTACAACGAGTTGGGAGTCGTTGTAGACCATTAGCTCGGATGCGTGCAATTGAAGCGCGCTTTTAAGTCTGGCTAGCAGTGCTTCATACTCAGCCTCGTTGTTTGACGCTGGGAATCCGAGTATGATAGAATGTTCGATGGTTAGACCGTCCGGCGAGATCAAAACTATGCCCAGCCCAGCGCCGTGCCGATTTGAGGCGCCATCAACAAAAAGTTTCCACATTTCACCAATGAAAAGTTTCCAACATTCTGAGGGATCCTGGGAGGCTTGAAGGTTGAGAGGATCACGGTCGCTGGGCTACTCGGTGCCAGGATGCTCAGCTATTTCTGCGACAAGCCGGCTGCTGACAATTTTAACAAACGTGTATTCATCCCCCTTCGGCGTCGCGGTGTCAGATCCAACGGGTTGACCGGCTATTTCCAAATCCAACGTCACATTGTCAGGCTAAAGTACACCTCTGACGGAAGGATTTGTGGACAGGCGCGCAAGTTTCGTGTCGCCAACATCACTCTGTTGTGAGATTTCCATTGCGCTGACCTCCTTTATCTCGACTGTCGCGGTAAGATCCATCGGGCATACAGGGTGAATTCCAGGCGAGAATTCAGCAACAAAGTCGGCCAATGCTTGGGCTTTGATGGCGGTTCGGGGTTGAAACTTGATGTCGAATTGACCCAATTCGACTGTCCACTTCAAAATTCGGCCGGAGAAATCTGCTCGCTCAAATAAGGGTTTCAGAGGGAATTTGGTCAACACCACGATTGTGTGAGCATGAAAGTACTGCGCCAAGGGTTCCTGGAGACCCTCATTAGCTTCTCACGTAAAAGATCGGGAGATGTTGGATGCCTTTTGCTCAGACGAGCATCGCATTAACGGCATATCGAGAAACAGCCAAATGAAGGTAGAGTTCTTCGTCGAGCTTGGGTGTCACCAAGAATGGGACCGAAGACAAATACATCTTGAGCTCGGCCATGGCCCTGTCACATTCTTCGTCCCATGAAAACTTAGATTTCAAGGCTCGAAAGAAAGGTCAGCAACGATCTGATGACCGGCTTATGAATCGGTTAAGCGCGACTGCCATACCGGCAAGATGTTGCACGTCCTTTGCCGAGTTAGGCTGCTTTAATTCTTGTATGGCTCTGATTTGTGAGGGGTCCTCTTTGATGCCTCCGTTGGTGACTAGGAAGCCTAGAAATTTCCCTAAACCCACGCCGAAGGCACACTTAGACGCATTCAAGTGAAGCTTGTGTTGTTTAAGAATGGAGAACATCTTGGCTAGGTCGGACAAGTGGTCGGCCTGCAGCTTGCTTTTGACCACCATGTCGTCGATGTAAGCTTCCATCGTGCGGTCTAGCAGAGGGGCGAACATATTATCCTCTGAAAATTCGCCCCGGCGTTTTTCAAACCAAAAGGCATAACTCTATAACAGAACAATCCCCTCGGGGTCGTGAAAGAAGTTATCTCATGGTCGGGCGCATGCATGGCAATCTGGTGATAACTGCGATAGGCATCTAAGAAATTGAGTTGGTTGTGTCCGGCCGTAAGATCCACTAGCTAGTCGATTCTTGGCGGAGGAAACCTGTCTTTAGGGAAAGCTTGGTTGACCATCTTGTAATCAACGCAAACTCGCCACTTTCTATTTTTCTTGGGTACTACGACTGTGTTCGAAACCCACCGAGGGTAGTGCACTTCCTGGATTGCCCTAGCTTCTAACAGGTTCTTAACTTCCTCCGAGACTACCTCGGTATGGTGAAAGGCTGATCTCCTCGTTCTTTGAATGACAGGACGCGCATCCGGGTAGACATTGAGTTGGTGGAAAATAAAGCTTGGATCAATGCTAGGCATGTCGTATGGCGTCCACGCAAATACTTCGATATTCGCCACCAAGAACTCCACCATCTCGATCCTTTCTTGGGCGGTCAGGCTAGATCCCAGCAAAAAGAACTTGTCAGGATTCTTCGTGCTGATCCGTACCTCCACCAACTCTTCAATAGCCTTTTCCTCGGCCCTGATGCCCACATCATCTAGGACACTTTGGTCTTCTAGACCTTCGATCATTTGCATGAGCCCTTTGGCTGCTCGGCTCCCATTCATTGCCACGAAGCATTGCTTTGCCATGACTTGGTTGCCCCAAATCTCCTAAACTTTCCCCGTAGCCGAGGGGAACCTCAAAATCTGGTGGTAAGTCGACGCCACCGCCTGCATGGTGTGAAGCCACCCTCTACCCAAGATCAGATTGTATGTGGACGACACCTTTAACACCCAGAACTCCACTTGCTTGACCACGAATCTGACTTTGACCGGTAGGATTATCTTTCCCATTGGCCACTCCGATTACGAGTTAAAACCCACTAGTGGTGAAGTTGCCAGAGCCAAGTCGGTATCTCGGAGTTTGAGCTGCTTGAAGGCGTTGTAGTACATGATCTCGATCAAGCTACCTTGGTCGATCAGGATGTGCTTAACATTGAAGTCCCTGATACGAAGGGTGACCACCAGGGCATCATTGTGCGGCGTTTGAATGAGCTCAAGATCCCTGCTTGAGAAGCTAAGCATATTTTTCTCCTTGGTCTTGCCTCTTTTGATCGTGAGCTGGATTGACAAAACTTCCCTCATATGTTCTGCTTTTTTGATCATCCCATGGAGCTCACATACCCGCGCCAGCTCTACTATACCGTGAATCACATTGACCACTCCCTGGGGGGGTGCCCTTAGGTCATTTGAACCACTTGGCTCAGCCGGTGCGCGGGGCGCGGCCCTGATGCCCCCATCGAAGTAACAGTCCAAGTGACCGGCAGTAACTAACTCCTTCAAGTGTTGCTTCAGGGGCAAGCAGTCCTCTGTCCGGTGCCCTCGCTCCCTATGAAATGTGCAGTGGTACCGCGGATTGAAGCCCTTTTGCACATCGTCTAACTTAGCTGGAAATCGGACGTAAACCTGGTCGCGGATTTCACTAAGTATGTGGTAGATTGGAATCTTAAAAACTGTGGTGACGCCCGTCCGAGCATTCAACTTTTTGTTTGCATCTGCCGCCTCATCGCGGAGATAGTCTGTTTGGTCGTTGCGGCAACCTTTACCTCGATTTCTACGATCCGGACCGTGGTCAGATCCCTTTGCGTGATCATTCGGACGGTTTGTCTCCTGTCCGACCGCGTGGGCTTTTCCAGCCACTTTCTTGTTTGTTGCCACCTGATTTGTCTTCGTGGTCGACGCCGCCACATCGTCCTCTACTCGGATATGCTCATTGATGTGCTGCATCAGCAACTCCATGAAAGTCGGTTGGTTCATCGTGAGTGAGTCCCTCAGTCTATGTCCGATTGGGAGACCACGCTTATATTGGGTGATTGCCAGGTTGGTCGGGCAATCTAGGATCTCGTTGAAGGTTTCCCAATACTTGGCGTTGTATGCCTTGAGGGAGTCGCCTGACTCCATCTTGACGCTCATGAGGTGGTTAACTTCCTTTGGCGTTTTAGTGTTGGTTTTGAATCGAGTTACGAATGCTTTTGCCAACTGCTGCCACCTTCCGATGCTTTCCTTCGGAAGCCTCTCAAACCACTTCAAGCCCAACTCGCCCAAACTCGACGGGAAAATAAGGCACATGAGAGTGTCATTACGCCTGTATCCAGCGACGACCTATCGGAAGTGGCTTACATGTATGTACGGATCGGTTTTTTCGTCATAAAGCATAAACTTGGGCTGGTGAAAGCCGGCTGGGAGCGGTGTGATCTCTATCTCATGGGAGAAGGGCCTGGCGCTTAGCCTCACCAAATCTTTGTCCAAAGGGACAGTCACGGCTATACGAGGTGGTGGCATTATGATTTCCTCACTGGGGTGACCCCCGTAGGATAGCCGCTGGAGCGCCGGCACCCTTTGAACCTCTAATTGGCACACTCCTTCTTTCAAGACATCCCTTAAGTCCTCTAAACAAGAGGTGTAGGAATACTTTGATGTTGTCGGCGGACGTGAGGGATGGTAGCTACTATCTTGCGTGCAAGACTTCTCTGCAAGCGGGTCAGAGTCTCCAACCCCATAGCTTCTGGTGATGGAAAGAAAGGGCGTGTGCCGCTGGTTCTAGCTGCCTGAACGGCGGGGTTGGGTGTGCGCACGGTGTTCACCCACTCCAGCAACACCCTTCCCTTTGACTTGTCGCTTGAGAGCTTCCATCTCTGCCGCCATTCTTAGGATGACGGCGTCTGGGTCCCTCAACTTGTGCTCTAGGCGTTGAGTGTGCGACTCTCTTCGCTGCCGGTGTCCGTTTGGACTCCGCGAGTGACCAATGCTCCTGGCGCGCTTATCTCGCGCATCTCTGGGAAGTCCTCATAGTGAGGTCTCCAGGCCCGCCATGTTTGGAATGGCGAGAAGCCCATCTCTCCGTCGGACTGACTCTGGGGTAATACCGTCGATGGAAGACAATGGCACTTCGTCGTTGTTTGCCATGGAAGGTGATCTGATGAACTTGGAGGGCAAGGTTGTGTCTGCTTCAAGTTATTCCCACAGACGGCACCAACTGTACGGGGAGCAAATTCTCGACACCACCCGTACTCCTTGCGTCCAAGCTGCGCCTTCATCCGATTGACCTGCGAACATAATGAAGGTGAGCTACGCGGCGGTGCGTCACCGGAAAATCCCTCCGACGGTCAAGTTAGCACGCATTCAGAGAAAGAAGAGAGAGAGATGATGTGCTAGTGTTTCCCTCACCAGAAGGTGTTCCGTCCTCAGCGTGGGGGGCTCAGTCACGCTTCTATACTTTCTGTGCCTACTTCTGCGACCATTTGCCCTTTGACGCGTGGACCTGCTCTCCTATCCAACTTTTCACGTGTCCGCGCAAATATAGCTAAACACCACCTAACCAAAATACTAAACGGCGTTGGCGCGAACGGACAACCCGGTGGCGCTGCCCCATTTTCTCGCTACCATACTACCTTCGAGACAAGCAATGCTTCGAGCCTAGCTCCGTTATGACCGAGCTTAGCAGCTCTTCGTCATGACTGAGCTCTTGCTTAGTTAAGCCGGTCAGCGGAGGATCTTGCACGCTGACCGCAATGATCAAACAACACGAACCGGGCTGGCAGAGAACTTATTCCGGCCAAATTCGAGATGGGTTTTAACCGAGCGCACTGCCCCTGGATTAGCCCAACCCAGCTCAGCCCAAACAAGCTCGGACCAACTTTAGTCCAGTCATTACCACGGCCCAAAGCTGGATTATGAAATCTCCCTCTTAGAAATAATTAAAGAAATTTTAAAAACTTAATGAGTAAGAAGGAATGGGAGATTGACTAATAAGTCCTATATTATGAACTTGTGATGCACATAGTCCCATATTGTTTTTTTTTTTTTTGTAATCCATTTAGTCCTTTTAGATGTGTAATGACTCATTTGCCTGTCAGATTGGAGTGTTACATTTGGAGAGTTATGTTGGAGTGTTACGTTTAAAAAAGGTACACTAAGGAATTTTTTAGTGTGTTAGTGTTTTGGAGTGTTACGTTTGGAAAAAGTACACTAAGGAGTCTTTTAGTGTGTTACATCGAAGTGTTACATTTGAGGAATTTGTTGGTATGCTACATTAGAGGAGTGTTACGATTGTGAAAAGTACACTAAGGAGTTTTTTAGTATAGTGTGTAACATTAGAGTATTACGTTGGAGGAGTTTTTCAATATGTTACGTTGGAGGAGAGTTACGTTTGTGAAAAGTACACTAATGAGTTTTTAGGTGTGTTAGTGTTACATTGGAGTATTACGTTTCGTAAAAATACACTAAGAAGTATTTTAGTGTGTTACGTTGGAGAATTATGTTTTGTAAAAAATATACTGAGGAGTTTTTTAATGTGCTATGTTGGAGGAGTGTTACATTTGGAAAAGTACACTAAGGAATTTTTTAGTGTAGTGTGTTATGTTGGAGGAGTTTTTTAGTGTATTACGTTGAAGGAGTGTTACATTTGTGAAAAAGTGTACTAAGGAATATTTTAGCGTGTTACGTTGGAGTGTTGGAATGTTACGTTTGGAAAAAAAATACACTAAGGGTCTTTTAGTGTGTTACATTAGAGTGTTGGAGGAGTCTTTTAGTGCCACGTTGGAGGAGTGTTACGTTTTAAAAGTATACTAAGGAGTTTTTTAGTGTGTTGCGTTATTACATTTAAGTGAGGGAAACTGTCACGCCCTCAAAATAAACTCATAATTCATATATTCATGATACAAGAAATTGACAATATATTCAAGAGAATAAAGTGTACATCTATTTATCATAGTATTTATCACAAAAGTATTACATGTTGACAACAAAAGTAAATGCCCTACGGGCTTATAATTTTCCAAGCCAACACTTGGTTACAAAAAAAAAGAGTACTAACTCACACATATTAAGCCATCGGCTTGAATTTACATGTAATACACAAAAAGGTAAACAACAAAAAGGGATCTTCAGCCTCTAAAGCCTCCCAAGCTATGTCCTTGGAGGTAGCATATCACTTGAACCTGAAAATGATGTCCTATATAGGGTGAGCCAATGCCAGTAGAGATATACTAAACCAAGTATGATAAATAACTAAAACAATAGCATTTGATATATGGTTGACACTTATAAACCAACTTACGACACTTTTCAATTTCAACATTAAGTACATCCATTTTCATTTCAGTTTCCTTCACTTATACAGTTTCGATTCATAATTATGGCTCAGAACCCGGCCAAACAATTCAATGAGACTATAACACATATTAAAACACTTCCATACTTCACAATTCACAAGAGAATATAACTCATATTAGAACACTTCCATACTTCAACACTCCCATATTTCAAGTGATACACAGATTTGCTGTATCAGTGGAGTCCATCCCCTATCTCCTTCCAAACAGGTTTGAGAGTCCATCTCCTATCTCCTCTCAAACCATGGAGTACATCCCCTATCTCCTCCCAAACAATATACATATACAATGTATTTAAACACTTATCATATACAATGATCAATCAATACACACATTTGCTGTATTATTCCAATCGTCATATTCAATGACATATTTAATGTGATTAGTTTCAGTTTTCCTTAATCGTCATATAATGTCTACAACAATCAAGACTATCCTCCACTAATAGCCCAAAGCAGTTATCTCTAAACAGATAATAAATTTATCAACAGTTAAAATATTGACATTTTCATAGGTGAGTGATTAAATTATCCAACTACACCATTTACTTCCACAATTTTCCAATTTCATGAATTTCACTTCAATTTCACATTTCCCCAAATTAATTATTCAACATAATTAGGGCATTTTTTTCCCTTTTTTCAATATTAGCCCAAAGGCTCAATTTCATCGATTTAACAACAACAATTTCATTTTTCAATGTCTCACACACACATAGGTTTTAACATTTGAAAACCCCCATTTTGTATAACCTCAAATCAAACCCTAACTTTCTCAAAATGACTAAGCAACATCATCCAATCAAAATGACCAAAATTTATGTTAAAACTCACAGAATAGAGTAGGTTATCCTTACCTTAATTTTCGGAGCTCAAAGAAGAAGAGAGGTGAAACTTGAAGTGCACCAAATCTACAACTTTTCAGATCAAAGCGAAGCCCTCGCGAAGCTCTACCTTTCTTCCAAAGGGACTAGGGTAGAAGACCACTAGAATTAGATGAAACCCTAGAGAGAAGGTATATAGAGAGAGAAAGAGCAGCTGGTCTAGGGTTTGCATAAAAGAAGATGATGAAACAGTGCAGTGTAACCCGCCGCTGCCAACAGATATATTCGAGGCTCGCTTGAGCGAATGAGTGGTCGCTCGAGCAACCAGACACAAAGAAACCTCGTTCGAGCCAACAAATCAAAGCTTCAGGTCTGTAACCCAGAAAAGCTCGCTCGAGCGAAGAAACCCAAAACATAGACCTTGCTCACTCGAGCAAAGAATTGCCACCTTCAGGTCCAGAACCAGACGCAGACGCAAGCTCGAGCGCAAGACTTCTCGCTTAAGCCACCTGACACAACACCCAACTCTCGCTCGAGCGAAGGAATCCTGGCTCGAGCGAAGGATCTAAGACACAGATCTCGCTCGAGCGACAAAAGTCTCGCTCGAGCGAAGACACCAAAATCTAGGCAGCAACCATTTGTTTCAAAACACTCCCAACTTGATACAAACCTGCCCAACACATCCTAAAATTCAAATATAAGGAATTAAAGGACGAAAACGAAACAAATGCAATAATACTCAACCGCGGGACTGTACATAAAGGGGAAAACCCAAGATCGCTATAACCTCCCCCCTTAAAGAATTTCGTCCCTGAAATTAA